CTGATATTGCAGGCAAGCTACTTCTTAATTTGTCATTCCAAAGGACCTGTATCAATGCCCATCTTACTTGATTTTTCTGCAGTAGATTACATTGTTGCTGCCGTCTCCTTGGAGGTTTTTCTTCCCTCAGCTTGTATGATGGCCATTCTCTCTTGGCTGCCACCTCTTATCTTCTTCATGGGCTGCTTTTCTGTCACCTGTCCCAGTGTTCTTCAAGATTCTGTCCTGCCTTCCTCCTTTCCTCACTAGATGTTTCCTGGATTATCTCTTTAAGCTCATAATGATAGGCATATGCTGCTCTGATTTAAATTTCTAGCTCATATCTCTTTCCTGAGCACCAGATGACCTCACCTAGGATCTTGTAGGTACCTCAAACACAACTTGTTCAGAACTTTACATTCCCTCAGACTTTTTCTCTATTCCTGATTTCATTATCTACCTCAGTCAGAAATGGAAGACCTTGGTGTCATCTTTGATTTCCTTGTTATATCCATCAATTTAGTGTCACCAACTACCTGTTTCTCTTCTGTCCTGAGTCAGCCAAGGTTTAATTGCTAGTGCTAATGATGTGTTTTACTGATTCTTTTTTGTTTTGTTTTTGTTTTGAGTTGGAGTCTCACTCTGTCACCCAGACTGGAGTGCAGTGGCCGTTCCCGGCCACCGCAGCCTCGACCTGCTGGGCTCCGGCGATTCTTTCGCCTCAGCCTTCCAAGTAGCTGGAACTACAGGCATGCGCTACCACGCCCTGCTGATTTTTGATTTATTGTAGAGATGAGGTCAGGTGGGTCTCGAACCCGTGGGCTCAGGCAATCCACTCACCTCAGCCTCCCAAAGGTGCGGGATTACAGGCTGAGCCACTGAGCCCGGCTTTTTTTTTTTTTTTTTTTTTTAAGGGAAATTTTTTTTTTTCCTGTAGCTCAGTTTCTTCCACTGTGCCTACCAATGTCTTTGGTTTGATTTTCCTAAATGAGAGGAAAATAAGACCACAAGTCAAACCATTTCAAGATGGCGTAAGATGTCAAATTGTAAACTGCTACAGAGAGATTGAAGAGAGACACCTGGATAACGTTAATGCCTCTTTCCTCACTATCCACATTCATCCGGTCACAAATCCTATTTATTCTACCACTTAAATTTCTAAATCTCTCCCAAATCTGCCTTCCAATTTCACTGCTTAGTTCAAGACTAACACTGTTATTTCTTGCCTCATCGTTTTGTTTCCTAGCTACTCTCCCATTGTGAAATTGTCTCCCCTCCTTTCTCTCTACTTCCAAATACATTACTCTTGGCTAAAATTTGAGTGCTTATTATATCTCATTTACATGTAAAATGTTTTATGTGCATTCTCATTTAATCATTACTCTGAATCATCCATTTTACTTTAAAGTAGTCCCAGGCTGCACAAATAGGAAGTGGGGGAATAGCATTTGAACCTAGGATATATGCTCCAGAGCTCATGATCTTAGTTAACCACTCCACCTACAGCCTTTGATTGACTCCCTATACCATCTGAGTGGTCTTAAGAATCTTTCCTGAGCTGACCTCTGTCTTTACTGTTTTGTCTCCTACTCTGGTAATCTTTTTACTGTTTCATCTTCTCCTGTTCTGCCTATTTCAGTCTATTTAACTTTTGGTCTTCCTTGTTGGGGTCATCTTTTCTTATACCTTTGTGTGTTTGCACATGTTTCTTCCTCAGCCTTGAGTCCTTGTCTCTTTATCCTTCAAGGCCCAGCTCAAGTGACATCTCCTTTTGGAGGGATTCTTTGCAATTACTTAACACCATTGTCCTCCTGCTCCTTAGTCTCTATTTTGTTCCCATGACACCCATATACACAACTGCCACATTTATATTTATAAAAAGTTTATAAATATATTGTTCATATTCAAATGGATTTTTTATATTAGGATCATTTTAAATTTACAGAATGAGTTGAAAAGGGAGCAGAGAGAGTTCCCATGAAACCCGTACCCAATTTTTCTGTTGCTAACATCTTATGTCACTGTACTACATTTGTTACAACTAAGAAACTAACATTGGTATATTACTATTAACTAAATCTGACTCTATTCAGGTTTCACCAGTTATTTTACCAGTTAAGCCTTTTTTCTGTTCCAGGATCCCATCTGGGATAGCACATTACATTTCGTCGTCATATCTCTTTAGTCGCTTCTGTCTGAAGTAGTTCTCAGACATTCTTATCCTTGATGATCTTGACAGTTTTGAGAAGCACCAGTCATGTTTTTGTTTGCAGAATGTCCCTCAATTTGAGGTTTATCCGACGTTTTTCTTATGATTAGACTGCAACCATGAGTTTTTGGAAGGAAGACCACAGAGGTAAAATGTTCTTCTTGTCACATCATATCTTGGTACATACTAGCAGCATGACTTACCACCGATGATAATAACCTTGATCAGTTGCCTGAAGAAGTGTTAACCAGGTTTCTTGACTGTGAAGTTACTTTCTACTCCTCTTTCCATACTCAAGTTTTTGGAAGTAAGTCACTATCACAATCCATACTCAAGGTTTGGGAGCAGTAAGCTCCTTCTCCTGGAGTGGAAGGTTTATTGACATCAATTATTTGAAATTTCTCTGTAAGGAAGATTTGTCTCTTTCCCCTCACTTATCCATTTAGTCACTTAGTTATATCAGTGTATACGCATTTATTTTAAACTTTAGGTTATAATCCAATATTATGCTATTTATTTTGTTTCTCAGATTATTCCAAGTTTGGCCATTGGTATCTCTTTCAGATTTGGTTCCTGTGTTCTTTTCATATGCCCCTGTCCCATCCCTAGAATCAGCCATTTCTCCAAGGAGCCTTAGTTTTTTTAATTGGAGGATGGTATTAGAAATCAAAATCTGGGTGCTGGGTGCCCACATTGTTGCTAGGATATCACTGCTTCTGTGTCTTTCAGTATATAGATATATGGGTACAAACGCTTGTCTGCCTGTCTGTCCAATCATTATTTCTTTATCTGTTCATCATTATATTAAGCTAAATATGAGTTCATATTGACATCTCCAATTTATTGTTCTAGTCAGCTCTTCTTTCTTTTTTCTTTTTCTTTTTTTTAGAAAGTAGGATTTATTGAGAGGACAGAAAAGCTCCCAGAGTGGGAGGGGACCAGAGAGAGTTGCCCTAGCTATTCTTTCTTATCTATAAATTCCCTCTTTGACTAGAAGAAATTTTGCATACCACTGCCATCCCCATCATGCAATACTTTAAGCATGGACTTTTTTTTTCTCTGTCCCCCTAACTAAGCTGTTAGTATTTTGGACACTTATTAAATCTTTGTTGAATGAGTGACAAATTTTGTCGCTGTAATGTATCTTACATAAAAGTTTAGCATTTTAGCAAAATCAACCTAAATAAATCTTGTTGTAAAGTTGAAACAAAACTTAATCAGTTATATATTGTCACATCATATCAAGGTACATACTAGCAACTTGACTTACCACTGATGATAATAAACTTATATATTGTTATATAATTTGTGTTCATTGTAGTTTTGTTTTTGTTTTTTGTTGGGATTTCAGACTGGAGTACAGTGACACAATTACAGCTCATCATAGCCTCAAAATGCCACTGCTCAAGTTGTCTTCCTTCCTCAGCCTCCCAAGTAGCTGGGACTACAGGCTTGTGCTGCCATTACTGGGCTAAGTTTTTACACAGACAGGGTCTTACTGTGTTGCTCAGACTGGTCTCAAACTCCTGAGTTCAAATGATCCTCCTGCCTCGGCTGCCCGAAGTGCTGAGATTATAGGCATGAGATACCATGTCTAGCCTGTTCATTGTAGAAAATCTGGAAAATAGGAAAAGTGAGAAGGAAAAAAAGCACCTCTATCACCTGGAGATAACACTTAATATTTTGTATATGTCATTTTAGAACTTTTTCTTTGTATGTATATGTCTGCACATATGCACATGCATACACAATTTTTACAAGAATGTATTCACACTTCACACTACTGATTCATAATCTTAAAATAATTTTTTTTTAGCTGGGCTCGGTGGCTCAGCCTGTAATCCCGCACCTTTGGGAGGCTGTGGTGAGTGGATTGCCTGAGCCCGCGGGTTCAAGACCCGCCTGGGCAACTTAGTGAGACTTCATCTCTACAATAAATCAAAAATCAGCTGGACGTGGTA